GTGTGTGTGTGTGTGTCGCCCTCTAGTGGTACGTGAAGAATCAACGAATGAAATGTTCAACCTTGGCATGTTCCAGTGGCTTAATTTTTAAGTCGAGTTCAGTTGTCTTTCACTTTTAAGTACATTTGCAGTTATTTTTTTGAAGAACTGTTTGTGCAATGCATTTTTCATTGAATTATTATTTATATAGTAGTCCTACTGGTCTGAATATTTTCAAGATGACATGCAATCGGAATACCTTTGCCGTCATTCAAATTCTTCAGGAAAGGTTTGAGCTTCTTCTCATACAGGATGGCGCCTTCTGTATGTCTCTGCCGTAACGTCACCCACGTCTGCTCCAACCGGGAAATCTGAGACGTAATCCCACAAGCGTCAGAGCAAAGCACAAGAATGCGCAATGAAAACGCGCAGGATGGCAACTGTGTTGATCTCACCTGCGGCAGCTCCAACGCCCTCATCACTGCGGCGAAGCCAAACATGTTACCCAGGTTGCTCTTCAGCTCGGCCGCCAACTGGATGGTCTTATGGAGCAGGGCCGCCCGCTCCTCCGTGCTTCCCGTGCAGCCCAGCAGGTCCACGGCCGTCATGATGGACATGGTGTAGAACCTGAAATTTCCAACATAGGGGGTGAAAAAAAGGACCACAGCGTGAATGAGACGACACACTTTAATTTTGTTTTGGTGCTCCTTTTTCGGTTGGCAACAGGGTTCAAATGTGCTCAGCAGCAAACTTGTCGATTTCCATGTGCACGATGTGAGGTAAGTACAGCAACTGGTACACCAACCGCCCCCTTTTTTAAAATGTATTTACTTATTTTAGATTTTCGTGAATGCTTGACTCTCCCATCAGTCATTCCGAACGAACCAAGGGCGGGTGCCCTGAAGAAGAAGACAGCGAGCGCACCTCTCCAGCAGGTCAAGTCTCAGCTGGTGTCCGTGAGGTAGCGTTAGTAACTCCAAGCCAGAGGATACTCCCATCATCCTTTGCATCTCCGAGTTGACTCCCAGTATTCTTGCAATCTGCCCAAGAGAGAGAGAAAACAAAATAAGATAAGCGTTGCATGTCGTGCATGTGCTTGAAATTCTCTCCAACGCTTGTTCTCAGCCGTGTGAACGGGATTCGCGCACGATGCGCTCGTTGGCGTGCGTTGGCGTACCGTGCAGTCGACTAAGGTGATGTGCTTTGCCGCCGTCCTTGCATCCACTTCAGCCAGCAGCTCTTTCACTCTCTTCAGCACAGCCATCTCCAGAGGTTTGTTGTCAGCCGGCATGATGCAAGACTCATACCTGCGCGGGAAACATTTGCTCAATACAAACAAGTGAACAACGATCAACCAGTACTGCACCG